TCAATATATTAAAGAAATAAAAAAGAGATGTATATACTGTAGCTTCTTTTTATCGAGTCATCCTAGAAGATTATTATAGGTACTTATCACCAGATAAAAAAATTGAATGTGCAGAGAAAAAAAAAAATTATATCATCTTCCATTATTTCGTTTTGTTCCTCAATGTTTGGAGTGAAGTTTGAAACATATTTATTGAATAAATATGAGAATAAGAGGAAATTTATTTTTCATGCAAGTTCTGATCCCTTGAAGAACCTCTGAGAAGGACTATTGTCTCTTGAAGAAATTTCTTGTATTTCTTCTTTTTAAACCCACAACCAATTTTTACTTTCTCGCTACCCTAGGGTAGAGAAAGTATTGTCATCCTCCAAGGAGGGGGGGGGGAGTTGAAATTTTATTTGTATGGAGCTCATGAAAGAGTTCTAGGTATGTTGAAGACATTTTGCAAGAAACGGGACGTGTGAAATATACAATGCGCAAAACATACACCTTAAACTTTATCGCACAGTATAACGTTGATCAAATCAACTTCAAAGACTAACAGAAGGTTAATGTCTCGTCCAAAAATATCAACAAATAAGCCAAAATCAGTAATCAGTAGAAAAATTATCGAGATTGAAGGATATCGTGTGATGCACGATTTTATTGATGGCAATAGAGCAAGATCGGATTCCCAGCAGGCGCGACTTCCTATCATTCAAATGGACCGTTTTCGCAGATTAGCGGATATTAGCGGCTAATTATTACATAATATCATTCCTGATAGTGTACAGGAGGCAACCCAACAAAGGATTTTGCGGACACTTGTGGACATTTTTTTATCGAGCTATTTTAACATTTTTTTGGGCGTTTTTTTTAAAGCAAGCTTTGGAGGTGGTTTTGGTCCTCCTAAAAATATGCCAATGCACATTCATGATACACCAAAATGTTCCTTAAAGGGAGGAGAATAAGCATGTTTAATTGAAATTTTGATAAATCTGCCACAGAACTCATGCAAAAGCGAAATAAAACCTTGAGAAATAGACGGCAAATTTGATACCACCTGCAATGTCAGCTTTAGGCAACCCGCATGGCAAAGCGGAAGAGTTCAAAGATCCTAGAACCGTGGATACATTCATTTTGGAAGCTTAACTACTAGAAAAGCAAGAAAAATATTTAAAATCAGACTTTTTTTTTCGTCGCCCATGACCGACCTCTACCATTGACTCGATCCACCGTGTGGCGCTTCGAGACTAATCATTCCGAAACACGACCCGCATTGTTCGATCCGTGGGTCGAAAAAAAAAGAACTCCGATAGTCCACAGCACCCAGGTGATTCATATTGTAATTATATGGAGGCCAGCATGACTTTCCATGGACGTAGTGCGGGAGATTTCGGTTATCCCTTCCACCCGAGCACCCTACGAGAAAATTGTAACTATAGGTGTACCCAGAAACGAAATTAAATTTCATTTTGCTGCGCGAATTTCACAAAATTTTACATGAAACACTTCACAGAGAAAATTTCATGAAATGTCACTTTGTAACTTCTGTTTAAAAAGTTCTACGACATTTTGCACCTTTGGGTACATCTGACTGCTGAGCAACACTCAACTCCTAAAAAAGTGATGGTCCATTGCTCCTTTCCCAGAGATCGAGCCCACGTCAAAAATAAATTTCTGGGCTTTTAGAGCGAGACTAGAGACAAGAAACCCTCCACTAGTATCTAGGCCATAGTGGAAGCTTTTACTTCCGGAACTGCAGGATTCTACTGTTGAGTTACCTACATGGCTGATGTTCAACCACGTCTACATGTTCAACCATGACTCGCAGTGGCGGGTGTTTGCAATAAAATAATCGATCTTTTCCCAAAAAGCTTCAAATGGGGAAATTTCGGAAGGCGATTATTCACGTGTCGCTACTGGAGCCGTAAACCAGGGTTGCCACCAAATCTAGAAAATAAAATGCCCTGATTTCCCCGACACATTTAGGTGAAATTTCCTGACAATTGAACAAATGTTGGATTGTTAAAAATACATAGTTAGAGATGGTTTTCCGGGAAAATGTGTTGTATCAAACGTCAAACCCACCCAAGAAAGCAAATAAAGGTGACTTGACGATTTATCCCTAACATTTCCAGGTTTTCCCTGCCCTTTTAAAATTCCCGGACATTTCCCGGTGTTCCTTGACTGTGGCAACCCTGGTAAACAGTATGCCTTTCGTTTTTTCTCCCTATGCTTCCTTCCATAAGCTATACTTAGCGAATGCAGATCAAACGTCACATCCATGCAAGGCTGCTCTTCCAAAAGAGAGGCGAATGGGTCCATGTTTTCTCGATATTTCCCTTCACGGTGCAACTTCATAAACAAAGCTGCGTTTTTTTCTTGAGCACGGAAAAAGACTGGGATCGAAAACCCCCGGAGGACCGGACTGACCTTGCTCTTTCGGCGGAGCTGCAAGACGCGTTACGGTCAGTATGTCATAAGTCACCGTTTTAACCTACATTCCGTTCGCCGCCCACGGTCCACTGTCCCGCGTCCTTGCCCAAGGACAAAATCAGTCACTGTCGCGTCTCGCCAAGCCAGACGGCCACCTGCGCTTCTGAGTTGTCGAGAAAGTTTTGTTTAAATCCACTGAGGCCTTGCACTGAGACTGCACCGGGGACAGTATATTTGGACCGCGTTGGACAGAAAGGAACCAAGCCGCATCAGCTATTGCCAAATTTAATTGGCCGAATTTAATTTAATGGTTAAGTTATACGGTTCTGCGGATTTTCGTGCAAATTGCAGTTAAAATTTTCCATAGTTGGAAGCAAATTCTTTAAAAATTTCAAAGGAATCCGCACAAACGTTCTCTCGTAAAAAAAAAATGTTAAATAAGTTAAATTTGGAAATAGCTGATGTGGCTTGGTTCCTTTCTGTTAAACTTGGTCCATTTTAAAGACTTAGCAATAATAATATAAGCGATGGGTCAGTTGCGTTGGTCATACAGGGTTATCCAAAAGTCACTGACCACCCCTGTAACTTTTTTCCAAATTGAGATAGAAGTTTGAAACTTTGGGAATGTTCCTCGGTCTAAGGTAGCAACTTTCTGGTCCCCCCAAAATTTTGGGGGGCGGCCCCCCTTAAGGGGGGCGGGGGCTAACTTTTTTTTTCAAATGGCAACCCCCCCTTTGTGATACCTCATTCGAAAGATAATAAAAAAAGCAATTTTCAGATTTCTTTAAGATTTCGCGTCCCAAGATTAGCCGCTCTTGCTCACAATATGGATCGAAATGATCGGGTAAGAACCAAGCTTTTTTTGGCAAATAAGGAGTATGGGCTTGCTGGTTGCTTAAACGAACTTTATAAGCATTACAATACGCAATTAGTTCTTTCTTTTGAATCGATTTCATCAATAGGAAAAAAATCAGAGGGAACCAACTGTGCACTTAGTTCATGTATGTTCTTTTATGCACTGATACGAAGATACATGTGCTGGTACGGAAGAGAAAAACACGCATATTCAAAGATACTACAAGACAATTTATTTTTCATATTTCAGCCTCTCAGGCATGTAGAACGTGACAATAAAAATTATTTTGGAAATACTGGACGACAAAAGTACATAAAATTACTTTACTAACTTTCCAGCAATCTGAAACCTATCTCAGCAATAGGTTTGGTATGAGCCACACGAATCTGACGTTGAGCAAGGACTGTTATAACAACCTGAGCCACAACTACAGCCGCCGTTGTAATTCGAGGAGCAACCCTGGTAACCATTACAATTACAACTATTGCAGGAGGAGCCACAGTTGGTAGTTGTGACATAGGGTTGTACAGTCACTGGAGAAGAACAAGAAGAATAGCCGCAATTAGAAGTTGTCTGGATAACGACAGGGGTCGAAGAGCAGCCACAGTTAGGGGATGTGATATATGTTCCAACTCCGGGTTGGACAGTAACTGGAGATGACTGACAGCCGCAACTGGGAGTTGTCTGGATTATCACGGGGGTCGAGGAACCGCAGTTGGGGGATGTGATGTAGGTTGGCACGGTTTGGACCGTCACGGGGGTCGAATAGCAGCCGGTTCCGGACACTACCGATGTTCCACACTGAGCGGGAACGGTTGGAATCAAAGTCGAGCCGTAAACATAAGGGGATGAATTGATAGAATTGCAGCCGTAAGAGGTGGAGGTTGGAACCAAGTTGGTTCCAGACTGAAGATACACACCGGGGCTTCCTACCGAATAGCTTTGCGATGAGCAGGAAGGGTAGACGTTGTTGTACCCAGTGTACCCTAGTCCGTCATAGAGTGACGCCACGCAGGGGCTCACAATGGCGGCGAAAGCCAAAATTGCGCACACTTTCTGCATATTTGAAAATTTCAAATTAGGAAAGTTGACCAGAGAAGTAAGTACTAGTGTAGCAGAAAACTGCAACTGTGACGATGTTCAAGTAGACGAGCTTTTTATACCCAGCCGTATAAAAGTGACATCAAACTTTCCTCGATGTATTGAGCTTAGCTCTGAATTTTGATAGAGGAATGGAAGATGCTTTGTTATTTTGCGAGGAAAAAGTATTCATTAAGAATTGGCGAAAATACCATTGCGATGAAGGCTATTGTCTCGTGGAAAAAAACAAAGGGATGAAGCAGGTACGGTTGGCGATAAAAAATAGATACTCCCTAATTCGTCTCATTAGGTGTGAATTGTGAGACCAAGACAAAAAGAAAAGAAACCAAAAATTCGTACGGGAAATGTGTCAATTCTTGAGGAAAGTTTGAGTTTGATACGCGAGTGAGGAAAAAATTGAAAGAAAGTGCCCAGACCCGAAATTTGAATGCGAGCCCGGCTCGTTATCACCTGCGTGTTCAAAGAGTAAGAAGCACGCGAAAGAATTTTCACGCAAAAACGTATGGGTATTATTCCGATTGTAGTCCGAATCGTATACCTACGTTCGTCGGAAACAATAAGGCGACCGCCATTGGCCCAGCAAATTTTGGACACGGACTCTGTACAATAGTTCCGAGACCTCAAAAAACTTTGTCGATCACCTGGCAAGGACCGGGCACAATTCGGCTTACAAATGATTTCTCTCGCACATAAAAAGCTTGCAAATTGTGAATGTACCACATTTTCAAGTTTCACTTTGAAGAGAAAACTTACAGTTTCCATCACAGAGAGGGACCTTAAAATTTTCACCAGACAGAGGAAATGTAGAGGTTTGGACTTCGCTGAACTGGTGAATTACTGTTTGAATCTCTTGTTTTCAAAAGGGAACAGGTCCATTCATCGATGAGTCTTGGTTAGCATGCCCTTTTTTGCAAGGCAAGGCTCATGCAAAAATTGACTTGTTCCGCTGTTCCTGTTCCCTTTTGAAATCAACTGATTCGTTTGTCGGTTTGTCCTCGTGCTACGATTAGCTCTGGATGCGCGGCCTATCTACCTATCGTTATCATACGCAGTATATTAAGTGAATCTTTCTGAGTTAGTCCAATCAAGGACGAAAATAATTGCCTTAACCCCGAGAACTTTTTCGAAGTTCCCTCCCCATTAAAACTTCTATGTTACCTCCCCGGAGATCGATATAGCATAACCATAGAAATGACGGAACTTCGAGTGGAAACCAGTATGGTGATGCGTAGCTAATTTCAGACTGAGCTCTGCCGATTGTGAACCCCCCCCCCCCCCNATTCTTCGAAGATCAAATTGCTTAGCAAGAGAAATGACGAAGAAATTTCGATTAAATAAATAATGAAGGAGCCAGTTTTTAGAAAAGAAAATGGAGGGGAGGGGGTTAACAGTCTTTTCAAAAAATTAAAAAATAATATTAAAAAGATGAAAAGATGTTCATGTCCCCAATGTGCTCACGACAATCGTTCTGCCTGACTTAAAAAATAGAGGAAATAAAGCAAAACTGGATAAAAAACAGATAAACTAATCTGATATGATCGGAGTTTGAAATTTCATTGCTTATGGACTCATCTCCTACATAACTGAAGGAGCCAATGGCAAGAAAGGGAAAAACGTATCGGCGCAGAACTTGCAATACGTGAATAACCCATGGAATTCAAGCGAGCTATTACGTAAACAACCGGATATTTATTTGTCGTTATGCAAATACGAACGCCAATTGAGTTTCCACTGTTTGAAAATGCATTTTTAAGTTACGGTAGGTGGAAAAAGTTCACATTTCATACACTTTCTCTAATATTTTGTGAAATGTAAGGTCTGGGGGTCCTGCAGTCTACTTTAATGACACAAGAGTAAAAACCGAGGGATGCTTAAATTGTAAGCATGCCATTCACGTCATAATATGCCTATTAATCATACATTTAATTATTTATACTTTTTGTTTGTTTAATGACACGCAAATAATTGAGTTGAAATTCAAAGACAATCGCGTACATCACGACCGATGAATGTTGCGCAATTTGTGCTTTGCGCTCAGAATAATTGATTATAATTAGACTTTTTATGAGAAAACATGCCAAGAAAACACTGAAAACTCAAGGAAAAGTCGGGAATTTTTACGTTCACTATATCTGAAAAGTTGGGGGGTTTTTGAATCAAAGAAATAGGTCGTAATTCCGCTCGTTTTTGTTGATAACTGTCCTTTAAATTGCACTATTTGGCAACACTGCCACTTACAAAAGATAGTATGTAATAGAGTCCCTTTATACTGAGAGTCAAGACAATTTGAATCCATTTCTGATTGGTTCCCGTATTTTAGGCATCCACAGTGTCACAAACGGGAATAAAGATTACATTTTCACCAATTGCAAAGATTATAATCTGGAATGGACCAGGGAATTACGGGTTCGGCAAGGAACAAACGGAATGAGAGGAGGAACGGAGAAAGGCATTTGAGAATGGGCCGATCAAAGATTACGAAAAACGTTCAATTTCTGTAATCTTTATTCCCGTTTGT